AACACTGGCGAGTAATTCGAAACATATCGAATCTTGTTAGTTCAAGTAACAAGATTCGATATGTTTCAAATCACTCCTTGCGAGGGAACCATCACACTCCAACCAAGCCACTACCACCCGGCACGAAGTAGAGATGCCCAGATTAGGTCACGCCTCGGTCATGGCACAATCTTCTCCCGATGACTCCGTAACGGAGTCCGTATTACGGACGGCACGGTGCGAGCGGTACGTCCCTTAGTGGCACTGTCGGGAGCGTACCACACCATGACACCTATCAATTAGATTTGGGCTTGTCCCTCGTCATAAACTCTCTAGCGGGAGCCCGAGTCAGCCACCTCCAACGAGCTCCTTGGTCTAGACGCTAGACTCTAGAGATTGACCGTTCTGGAGACCGTTGCGTTATACGTCTTACCTCAATGAGAAGAGACAAGATTCTCCCCGAGTTGTAAGCAACTCTGCACAATCATTCACTGCTGAGCTGTGAACTCACTTGCACGATCAAGCGATCGATTGCATTTAGATTCTTGCTTAGGAAAAGCGTAGCTTCTCCGCGGTTGAAACCGTGCCAGAGAGTTGTCTTTCGGCGAAGCCTGGTTTGGGACAGCGATTGACACAATCGCTGCCGGCGCAAGACGACAACCTGAGTCCTTCAAGCTGCCAAGCTAGTCACACAAGCCAGACTGTCTTGACAACCTGGAGTAGTGTATGTGTTAAGCGTAATATTTTTTTTAACCGAGGTCTCCGATGCAGGTCCTAGGGGCACTCCAGGGAGCAAGCTTCAGTGGCTCACGATAAAAGCTTACTATCGTGAGTGTCCTTAGTGTACCTTGCGTGTCATCCTCCGCAGTGCCCAGATGGCACTCGAGAGTCTTCTGAGTGCTTCTCAATCAGGGCTATCATTGTTCATTCCTACGCAGCTTTCTGGTTCCGAATCCATCTTCTGGCATAGCAAGGACACTGATACCTTTGACAATGGTCTCAGCATGGTCACCCGCTCATTCGTAACAATCATGTGCCTCTGGTCTGCCCGTGAGATCCAAAGCTTGGCTGTTAGACATCTCAGAAGATGGAAGAAGGCTATTAGACATAGCATGAAAGAATGGCCACGCAGGGTGGTCGTTCTTTCATTCTTTTATAAAAGTAGGCTATTTTTCTGAAGGAAAGAATGCCTATTTTCCGCCGGAAAAAATGGAAATTTTGGAGGAAATCTGGAAAAAAGGAAGAAAAACTCAAGAAAAAGGGCGAAAAATGAAGAGCGAGATGTGATTATTAGTAATCAATGATTAGAGGCATAGAGATGTGCCGTAGTTCTGAGTCAGAACTTCTGACAGAACTACGAGATAGCTGAAACATTCGGGAGGTTTAAACACTCGTAAGGAAGAAATCGATGAATCTCGTCATTGGATCTTAGGCGCGCAGGAGTGTCCATCGAAAAATTCGCAAGGTCATGCTTCGAAGGAAATATATCTCATGATGAGATCTACATCTCCCGACGAACCGAAGAACTCAACAGTGTCCACGAGTTCGATGTGCGTTGTTAATTAGAGCAATTACTTACTATCGCCCAGAATTGAGTGAATTAGCGGATGAGCTAGAGTCAGTAACGCGAGATTACTACTTACCAGAATCGCGCAAATTAGCTAGCGAGCTAGGGTCACCAACGCGAGAATAGGTTTTCAATACATGAACCCTAAGCTCGTCTCTCCTCAACACACTCCGAAGTTGATAAATCGTATAGTGGTTACTCTTCGTCTCCAGGTCATCATATAGAATCTCATAGGCTTTGCAGTTCTTCTTCCTCGGATAAGGTATTATCTTCCCCCCCCCCCCCGTCCCCATACCACTCACCTTCATACATCTTAGTGCAGGTGACGTCATCGGGGAATGATGCCAAGAACTTGTGGGTGAGTTGCGCGTGCATTTGCTGAGGGTCTGCGCTGCAACCCGCATTATTCTTCGAGACCGAGGAAGATACACCGGTCTCTGGCATTTAATCAACTTCAAACACTCCCCTCACTTCAGGGGCCGGAGAAGACGAAGCACTTGAGCTGCCTGCTGGGTTGCGTGAAGCCGTTGACACGGGAGTGGGTTCAGGAAATTCGAACCACGGTGCCCAGCGGAAGAAGACCCATGTACAGTTGCCTTTGCCCTGATGAAACAAACTTTACCAAGTGACCCGTGGCAGCTACGGCTTCAGACGGTCATCTCTGAGCGCTCGAAAGCTCAGCGCTACGCTACTGGGTCCCACCGCAACGGCAACACCATCTTCACAGATGGATCAGTATGGTATTGCTAAGACATCAAGACCGGTGGTAGTGTATCGTAAGGATTTGGAAGTGAAGGCTGATTGCTGGAAGCTTGCAACTTACGCTACTATTATGGAATGTGAACTGCTCGGCGTTCTTCAAGCGGTTCGCTATATTAGAGATATGCATACCTTGTTTCGGGTGAAAACTGGGGGATCTTTACGGACTCTCAAGCGGTGCTCAAGGTCCTGTCATCGCGCTGAGCATCCACGAAGTTGGATAAAGCAAGACAAATCATTCTGCTCTTAGTCGGGCCCTCGAAGAGCGTGACTCTCAGCTAGCGTCCCGGACACACTGGCATGTTTGCCAATGACCGGGCCGACGATTTGGCAACCACTCCATGAGCTTATCCGGAGCTGATCTTAACCATTTGATGTATGATCATAGGGAGGGTACGGAGCTCATAAGATAAGGAATTTGTAGAGCTTTCGAATGGTATAGAGCTCACACTATAAGCTTCAAGGATAAAATAGGGTGTACAAGTCCCGAGAACTCAACGTTCATTGAAGACGTGACGGAGACTAGTGAGTGTTTGAAACACTGAGATAACATCTATTCATGAGATCTAAGAACCCTGGTGGTCGTGCTCCTGATTACAGCGTAATATCAGATACCATCTCAAGCGATAGCTAGAAGCAACGAGCTATAGATATTGAATTTTTATTTTGACATGTAGTTGTTCCCTCAGGAAACTTTCCTGGGATCCTGTGCCGCATGGAGTACCCGATTGTCATTGATATTGTGTGGTTTATCTTCAGCGGTAATACTCGACAACGTCAAGTCGACGTTCCGAGTGTATCAATGCCACAGTGAACTGGTTCGAATCGAAAGATAAAATAACGAAACGATTTGTCTCATCAATTTATTGCTGCACAAAGACTTCGTATGCTAGAAGTAACAAATGCACTACACAAAGATACGGGGAGACGGAACCCTTGCCAGGAACACACCGACTGTCCTTGGATGGCCGAACGGAACCGATTTACACAGCGACGATGTAGTTCTTAGAAGCTGCAGTCCAGCTGCTGGACTTACCACTGGCCAATACTCGGGCGGAATAATGTTCGTCTTAGTAAACCCGGGTTTGTTGTCGATGAGCTATACCGAGCAATCGTGGCTCAAGTTGTGGTGATACGTTCATAGCCTAGCGGTCCAGAGTAATACCTTACATGAGGGAAGGTTATGGTGTTGGTGGAGATAAGTCGTGATTAACGTACAAGTTGTGCGGCACAAAGCACTTCTTTCTTGAATGGCTCGCGGGCATGATTCGAGCTGTTGTTAGCGTCGATCTTTATGGATCATAAGGAATGAAACGATGTTTTAAGAATGCCGTCACCATAAGCTATGGTGCCGGCGTTTTTAAAACACATTAAATCTGAATGCATCGTTCCTTCTCCGGTTTGTAATCTCTATTAGTGATTCACTAACATCCGCGTACCAAAGTACACGTTTTCGACCCCCCAGTCGAACAGAGTATCATGACGGAGAACCGAGCGGCGTCAAACAGATACCAACGAGTTCGTTTTTATGTACGGCAACTGTTGCAAAAGACTCAGTCCGACAGACACTTCATACGTAACCATCAAACTGTCTTAGACCAGCGTAGTTGACTGCATTCACGTTCCTACTGCAAGCTGTTGTAGTAACGTCCAAACACACACTGACCTAGTTACCAATGTGGCACACTGGGTGCGCGGCAGCCCGCCAGAATCGCAATGATTCTCATTATCTATTCTCTAGGAAAGAATCTCTTCAAAAATTCGGTCCTTCTAGGAAATCTCCAAGCTCGCCGGAACGAATTGACTGTGAAGTTACCAAAGCTGGGAACAACTGAGCTCTCACGTTCTCAGCACTGCAGTTCATGCGTGCTACTCGACGCTGATGACATTTCTTGATAAAATCATCAAGAACAACACGAACAGCTCGAACTTCAGGCCTTGAATCGCAGGGCTTATGGTTTTCGCCTGTGGCCTCCTTCGGAAGTGCTTCCCGACCAGTGGTGTCCAACGTAGACTTGTGATTCCGAAGCCATATTACCGCATGTCAATGATATATCGTTCATTCATCACAATCACCTGTATCTGGTCCTTTTATGAGAACTCAACCCTGGCCATAAAACAAGCCAAAAGCATATTCGACGACCTCAAGGCTCATAGAGGTGCGACTGAGTTCACCATGTCGACAGCCCATTGGAGGGCTGTCAACAACAACTACAACAACTCCCCATCTTCAGGATTGGTTTATACTCCGGCAGAAGAAGCCCAGCATTTCGCTCGTTTCGAGGAGGAGTTGAGGATCCAGTCCAAACTCATCTCGACTGAAGACTTGACGGTCCTCTACGATGAGACCAGACCGGCCATCATGCAGAGCCTCGTTGACGAGATCAATTCCAAGCAGAACACATGGACCGCGTCGACTGGGCAAAAAAGATTCAAGAGTAGCTCTACTTCCCAAGTGTCTGTCGAAGCATCTCTCTTCTTTTCCTCAGACCTCTCCCTGCGTGATGCTAAAATGCTATGTGGAACACTGATGAGAGGGTCAAACGACAAAGCCATAAGAAAAGGCTATGCTATAGAGGAGCTACAAGACCTCCCTACTGACTTCGACGCTCGCACCGCCTTTCCCAATTGCTCAAAGGTTATCGGCCATATCAGGTAGCTAACTGGCGACTGTGTGAGAAAATGCTGCTTCGATCTCCAGAGACCAGTCAGCTTGTGGAAGCTGTTGGGCATTCGGTGTCACTGAGGCCTTCAATGACCGCCTATGTATCAAGTCGGATGGGGCGTTCACGGAGCTCCTATCGGCCGGCGAGATGAATGCTTGTGCGCCGTGAGTCGAGGATGCCAGACTTAGACTGGGAGCTTCCCAATCGGAATTTTTTGCCCAGGTCCCACGGATGCAATGGTGGATTTCCTAACTCAGCCTGGTCTTGGGTGCACGATAAAGGGATCGCAACTGGTGAGGGAAGTCGACCGAAACGAGTCTCGGAATCCGAGGCGAGTTTGCTATGACTTATCCTCGACTATTCAATAGTCACTCTTGTGACAAGAGTCTTGTCTACAGAACGAAGACAGGGGAGACCCACACTGTAGACGCTGGAGAATGTGATGATAATCCCGGCACGGGTCGCTGTCGTTCTTAGCAATGAGCCAGCGACGCTGACTCCTGTTGTAGCATCGTCTGGGACGACTTGTTTTAAAAAATTGTGAAACTGAATCTCCGATATCCACATATGCTGCACAATCCTGGAGTGTAGTAGAACATTTCTTTCGTTGCTCAGGTGGAGATTACGTTGCGAAAGATGATATGACTAAAGACGATGGGTGCTGGCCGTACGATTTTCCACCATGCGCTCATCATATCAATGATACCAAGTACCCCGAATGCCCGAAGGTAAGCTGTAGCGGCGAGTCGCCGCCGGCGACCGCTGAGACAGCAACTGTCATTGCCTATCAGAACTCATACGAGACTCCCAACTGTGCCGAACAATGTCACAACCCGAAGTATACGACCACTTTGAGAGAGTAAAGGAAGGATAAGCTAAGTCAAATGAATCGAGTTTATCATTCTCAGTGATCGTCATTTCATGTTGGAATCCTCTCCTTATCAATACTCTGTGAACGATGCTAAGAATGCTATCAGGACCGATGGCCCAGTGGGACCGATCTACTTCTGTGATCCAAACGTTAACTTTGATCAGGTTTCGGCTTCTTTCTCTGTTTACGAAGATTTCCTAGCCTACAAGTCCGGTGTATACAAGCATACTTCTGGAGAATATCTCGGTGGACATGCTGTGAAGATAATTGGTTGGGGTGAAGAGAGTGGACAAGCTTACTGGATTGTCGTGAACTCCTGGAATGAAGACTGGGGTGACCACGGCCTTTTCAAGATAGCCCTCGGGAACTGTGGAATAGATGATAACCTGCTTGGTGGTACACCCAAGGTCTGAGTGGATCTCCTCCATTATGGATGTGCACTGGATGAAACCCATCACATTCGAATCAGGACGATCTGCTTTCGTCCATAGTCATTTTCCTTCCTGGCAGCATGAAGTCTTATATTCTTCTCGCATCTGTTGGATGTGAATGAATAGCTGATTGCTGGAACTTTTCAACAGAAGTCATCTAGAGACTCTTAAAGAGATGATAAGTCGTATATTCAGTCCATTCCGACTCTCCCGAACTTGTCGAGTTACTAGTATCGTACGGGATGCGGTTCAACCGCAGCGGCTGAGTCCGTGGCGAACTCCTCCATGCTTCGCTTCGTGCTCCCTCTCTATCCTGGCACTTCAGATCCCTTGAGGTAAAAAACGCCTCAATCACCTCCTTGGTAATGAAGGTGTCATACCTGGTATGGAAATGCGGTCGTCTCCGGCTTTGCGGCCAATTCGTAACTGTAAGTATGCAACTATAATTTCATTCAACGTTGGTCTCACCGTTAGCTTCAGCGCCTTCAAAACGTCAACATTGAGGATTTTAAGACCAATACTTATTCACAACGAATCGCTATACACCTACTTGTAATATATGTAGCCTCAGCTACTTTCAAAAACAGTCGTTTCCCGCACAATTGGCCGGCGTCCGAGCCGAAATGGTCTCAGCTGACCTATAGCTCCGCCGGAACGGTGGAATCATTCTCAAGAGCATCAACCTCATCCGGCGGCGTCTAGTATTGCTTTCTTAATACCATTCAGCCCTTAATTGCTAAAACCAATCATGTTGATTCCTAACTTGTTGCAGCTCTTTTAGCGCGATTCCCTTCATCTGGTGATATTACAGACGGCGGCTTCCCCTCGGATTGGAGTGTAGCGCAATGGTCTATGTCAGAGAGCGCATGACATCACCTGCATGTCTGCCTCTCTTTGAGCATCTGTAAGCCATCCCCGTTTACAGCGAGCTGACATCGATGATGTCCGGTGAGGAGTATCTCAGGGTCGAGCAGAGGGTCCCTTCGTTATGGAAGATGCGGTGCTAGTAACACAGTGTTACTACAATCAATAGCCTGTGTCTCGCCAGTGTTCG